GCGCGCGAGCGGGAGCGGGAGAGGGAGCGGCAGCGCGGGGCAGCGGAGGGGACGTGGGGCAAAGAGCGCCTCAGCGAGATTCGGGAGCGCCTACAGCGGATGCAGCGGCGCGAGCAGCCCGCACAGCCGACATTGTTCAGGGAGCGGGAAGGTGCACACAATAGGGACAATGACCAGATGCAGGAGTGGCTGGAAACTCGTTCCAGGATGTTCAGTTCGGGGACACCGACGCTGCTGGACATAGAAAAAAGACGCTTGAGACTTCTCGAGAACCTGCTGAAGTCGCCTTCAGCCGCTGGCCCGGACTCGTCCTCGGACGCGTCAAGACCCCCTTCGAATTCGGACTTGGACGCATCCAAACCCTCTTCGGACTCGGACTCGGACCTAGACTCCTCTTCTTCCGTTTCCTCTTCTGCCTTAGACTCGAACTCGGGTTCGGGCTTAGACTCCGACACACCGTCTCCCTCTTCATCCGACTCGGACTCGGACACGTATTCTCCCTCCGTTTCCTTTTCACCCTCAGACATGAACTCGGGTTCGGGCTCAGACTCCGACACACCCTCTCCCTCTTCATCCGACTCGGACTCGGACTCGGACTCGGACACGTATATTCCCTCCGTTTCCTTTTCACCCTTAGACATGAACTCGGGTTCGGGCTCAGACTCCGACACACCCTCTCCCTCTTCATCCGACTCGGACTCGGACTCGGACTCGGACACGTATATTCCCTCCGTTTCCTTTTCACCCTCACTGGACATGAACTCGGACTCGGACTCGGACTCGGACTCGGACTCGGACTCGGACGGGGACGTCGATACACCCCATTCCGCTGCCAAGTCGTTCCCGTACGTCACGCACTTCTAACTGGGGCGCTTCCAAGGACCCGGGAGGGCCCCCAGGATGGGTATGGGATTGGGATAGGATGCCCGCCAGGCTCGGGGCTCGGGGGGGGGGCACGGGCGGACGCGGACGCGACCTCTTTAGTGGAAGCGCGCCGAACCCCTAAAACCGCCGCGGACTAATCGAGAGTGGAAGGGGACGGGTGGGTGATACGGACCCGGGCGTGCAGAGCATTGTGCGGATGGACGTGTAAGGAGGGAATCAGCAGAAAAGTACGCCGCACCATCTACATACATACGAAGTATAATGAATGTATAATTCGCTAGAAATCAAAGGACACAGTCTACCCACTCGCCTCGCGGCCAGTTTCATGCTTCCTTCCCCACCAGCAAGGAGGCTCAGAGGCCGATCTGGACAACGAGGCGCGTTCTTCCCTGGGCGGGCGTGCGGCGTGCGTGCATGGCATCCTGTGGCTCACACTGCTGGGACACCATAGAGGCGGAAGGCTGAAGCCCCGGGTACTCCGAGTCGTGTTACCTGCTCGACGTCTAGATCTATCTACAAGTGAACTAAACCACGCCAGATTGTCAGTACATCCACAGTAGTCCGACGCGCTGTCCTTCTCTCGGCTCCTCTTCAGTCAACATATATACTTGAATAGCTTGCATGCACCGTTAACCACATCCCCCTTGAGATCTTGCGTGCTCTTTAAACTTGACACAAACGGAGAGTGGAGACGCGCGTGTGTGCATTGCATTGCCCTAAATACCTACCTACCTACTACATACTACATAGACAGACCTACACTCTATATACGCTTAAATACTACCTACGAGCCTAGAGTATACAACAACGACGACGACGGGGACGAGGAGGAGGGAGACAAGACGAGACGGACACATGGGGTGGGGTGGGGAATAGATGCGCAGGGGCAGGGTGGGTAGATGCGGGTAGATGGGCGGCGGGCGGGCGCGTCAGGGAGATCGGCACTGATAGAGGGTCGGAGATGGTGAGACGAAAGGACGAGAGGGAGACGAAGTCGGAAGCCGGAAGCCGGAAGGAGGAAGAGGACGATGGGGGGGGATATGTAGGACATGCGCATGGGACGAACATTGAATCACAATCACAGCCAAAGTCTACCGCGCGACCCCCCACGCGCAGGCAGGCGGGAACGTCGCCGCGCGGTGCGGCTGCGGGTGTGGGGGGAATGGTGCTTGAGTGTGAGTGTGAGGTTGAAGTTGCGTTACCGCGTGCGGGAACGGCGACGGCGCAGGGTAGAGTGGTCCGGGGTAGGACGGCGCAAAGGTGAACGCCGGCGTAGCGGGGCTCGAGGTGGAGGTGGAGGCGAAAGTGGGGGAGGGGGAGGGTTGGGTCTGTGGAAGGAGGGGAGGTCAGAGTGCGTTGAGGAGAGGGAAAAGGAGGGAGGAAGGAAAGCGAAAGGGAGAACAGAGAAAAGCATGAGGCGAGGGGAATGAGAAGAGAGAGGGAGGCCGGAAAGCTTCGGCAGCGGACATGATATAATAATGACACCGAACACAGACGCAGACGCAGGCACAGATGGCGGCGGCGGGGGTGCGCGATGAGTGAGTGATGGCGAGGGGTAAGGGAAAGTAAAAAAATCACAGCTATAACAGAGAAGTGCCAGATACGAAGGACAAAGATGGGAAACCAGGGTGGTTGGTGTTCGTTCGCAATGGGGGGGAATGCTGAGCAAGGAGAGGAGAGGGCCGAGGGACGGGGCGGGAGGGAGGGAAGAAGGCGGGAAGGCGAAAGAAGGAAGAAGGCGGGAATGTGAAAGAAGAAGACGGGAAGGCGAGAGAAGAAAGCAGGAATGCGAAAGAAGGCAGGAATGCGAAAGAAGAAGGCGGGAAGGAGAGAGAAGAAGGGGGGAAGGCGAAGAGCGGGAGGCAACGAGGAAAGGAAAAGGATAAAGGAGAGAAAGAGATGGAGTGAGCATTAGTAGGTGGACGAAGCAGGAGGGCAGGAAGGAGGGCGAAAGAGACTAGAAGGCGCACGGGGCGCGGGGTGGGAACGAAGACGGAAGGATGGAACGGAATGGACATTTTAGGGATGGATGCAACCGGGGTGCAGCGAGGGAAAGGACGGGACGGGGAGAAGGAAGGGGAACAAGGAGGAGAGGAAGATGCGCGGGGCAAGGCCTCAGCTACAAAATGGAACGACGGAAGATGGGAGGGCGCGGCGCGATGAGCGACGGGACGAAGGGAAGGAAAGCAAGGGAAGCGAAACAAAAAAATTAATAAATGAAAGTGGTCCTTCGAAGCGAAGCAAGAGGATCTGCGTGCAGATCGCCGACATGTGCGATCCGCGAGAAGATGATGCGTGGGGATTCCGACTCGCGTAGAGAAGGGAAGAGAAACGGGAGCAGAAGAGAAGCAGAAGAAGAGGAGGGAAACAGAAAAGAGAGACTAACCGCATCCCCCATCTCCACATCCACATCCCCTTCATCCTCCCCCACCCACTCTCCCCCCCTCCCACCACGCCCACGCCCACTCCGCCCCTCCCTAAACTCAGAACGCGAGCCGGCCTCGCAGAACTGCGCCTGGAACGCGGGCGGGATGACGAGCGCGGGGGCGGCGGCGGGCGGGGGGCGCGCGGTGCCGGTTGCGATGAGGGATTGGAGGTAGGTTTCGAGGCGGAGTTCCTGGGGGGGGGTTAGTGGGTGGGATGGGTGGAGGTGGGGGAGGGGGGTGAAGGTTGGTGGAGGGGGAGGGGAGGGGGTGGAGGGGGTGAAGTAAGTGTAAATGGAAGTGCAGATGCAAGAAGGTGCGAGGATGGCGCGATAAGGTGCGCGCGGGCGCAAACGCGATAAGTGAGGAAATGAATGAACGAGGACGTGGAGACGTGGGGTGGATGGATAAATGGATGAGTGGGTCGGTGAGTGAGGACACAGCAAGGGATGTATGAATAATGAACGAGCGAGCGACATCGGACGAGGGAAACGCAACGAAAAGCAGGAAAGAAACGCAACGCACCTCAAAGCTAGTACTCTCGAGGCCCGGAATGGCGGTGATGCTCTGGAACAGCTCGCCCTCGGGCGTGCTTCGTCCCCCCTGCGTCTGTGCCTTGGCCTGTCCGTGTCCTGGTCGGACGCGCGGGTCCCGCGTCCTCCCACCCTTGTCCTTACTCTTGTCCACCCCACCCTCCATATCCACCTCCTCCATCACAACGCGCTGCTGCGGCTGCGGCGCCGACACCGCGCGCGCGACCCTCCGCGCCCCCGCGATGCGGCGCGGCAGCGCCGGGGCGCACTGACGCTGGAGCCGCAGCAGCGTCGACACGTACCCGTCGTCGCTCCCCGCGCGCCCGTCCTCGTCTTCATCGTCATCATCGCAGTCGAACGCGACGCAGAGCTGCTCGAGGGAGAGCGCGCGGAGGTCGATGCCCATGCCCATGCGCGGGGGGAGCGACTTGCCTACGTCGGGGCCGGCGATGTCGACGTCGAGGATGGCATTCGAGTGGTCGTTATTCATGTCTGGGGCGGGGAGGTCGCGGGGGGTGTAGTAGTGGTCGAGCATGGTGGTGGGTGTGTGCAGGTGGACATGGATTGGTTGATATTCTGGTTATATTTCGCTCGCTGCTGTGTGCGGGCCACCGGGAAGGTCTCACAAGAATCCCATTGTCGCGAGAGGAAAAGGAAAGGAGTGCTGTAGTCGTGTGACGAGCCGCCGACTCATGGGAACGGTCACGCGACGAGACACGTCGAGGCACGCGTTTCATGGTAACCAATTTCTGTTAAACTGCCAGGAGCGCGAACGTCGCGTTGAAACAGCTGTAATCGGGACAGTGGCATGAGCGAACGAAAAGAGAACATATGGACAGCACGAATAGCTTAGGCCCGATTCGGGCGAGCTGATCATGAGCCCTGTCAAATGCGAGTAGATGCAGGTCCAGGTCTTCTGCCACCAAGCCCCCTCCATTCCCCCCTTGTAAGCCTCACCAAGTTCATGTCCTGTTCTTGGACTGGATAAAAATCATGATTAGGAAAAGGAATTCGAACTATCATGCTTTGCTCAATGTTGAACAGAGGCAAAGGACGAGGGTTCCTTCAGGAAATATCATACAAAGTGGAATTGAAACCTGCGAATAGTAAACTTCGGTCTCGAAGATTTTTTTTAAAAAGATTCTTGTCGAGGGGGCTACGGCTCAGGCCCGATTCGAACGAGCGAGCTACTTCTGCTAACGGCAGAAGTTACCAAACATTAATGACAGATGCGGACCATCCGCCACTGAGCCTTCCTTACAGCCTCATCAAGTTCATGTCCTGTCCTTCGACTGGATTGAAATCATGATAAGTTGAACTTGAAGTGGAGGAAATACTGTCAGTCTACCTGTGTTGGAATATCAAACAGGTGCAAAGGACAATAAGGTTTCTTCAAGAAATATCATGCTAATGGCTTTAGAACCTGCGAGTGGCAGACTTCGGTATCGAAGGAAATTTACAAAAAAAAAAAAGACGACATCATCACAGCCTGAGCAGCTCAGGCCCGATTCGAACGAGCTACTTCTGGTTACTTCATAAGCAAAATCAATTGGTAACAGATATGGACCATCCACCACTGAGCCTCCCTTGCTGTCTTCAGTTATCAAATATGTAGGTGTTCTGATAGTTCTTGGCAATGAAGAGTGAAATCCCAATGTCGGATTGAACAACAATCGCGATTCCCAGCTGTCTTCAAGCTGAAATCAAACTGCCCTATACGAACGACCTTCTGCTGCTGCCACAGTCCTCCCGATTCAATCTGCATCAAGCTGCTAAGTAGGACATTTGTAAAAAAATAAATAAATAGATATGCTGCGGCATCCATGGATTATCAAGCGTAATTCTCAATGCTCTGGAACGTGTGGAATACAAATTGTCACTTGCCTGTCCCAGGACCCAAAGAAAGAGAGAAAAAGAGGTATCGTAGAGGTATAGAATGGCTCAGGCCCGATTCAAACAGGCAGCTTCTGGTTATAAAGTATCTCAAAACTGACGTTATTGGTAACAGATGTGGACCATCCACCACTGAGCCTTCCTTACTATCCTCAGTTGCCAAATATGTAGGCGTCCTAGTTCCTGGCATTGGAAGGTGAAATCCTAACGTTGGATTGAACAACAATGATCCCGAATGCGAACTGTCTTCAAGTCAAAACTGCCACTAATTTTTTCTACATACCGAGCCTACACTAGACGGGTTCGGGAAGTGGCTGGAGGTTGAATACTGCTCCAAGAATGCTATTAAAAAGTCCTACAGACAATAGGGCACAAGTGGGTGACTTCCCGTAACAATTAAATATTGCCCAGGAATATTTTTTGCACTTGCCGACGTGATGCGACGTCAACTGCCAGGACCCCATCAATCGTATCACCCCAAAACGTCTGCGATTTATTCTCCCATCACTCGAGATATGTTGAATCTATTCGGGGTCCACCCCCCTCGAATAGACTTTCGTATCGTGGGAAATCCCGTTTAGGCATGGAATTACTGATTGTCACCCTCTGTCACTCCCGTCACGAACTCTCCGTCCTCACTTGCAAAGCAAACCGTTCGTATACAACAGATCCTTCAATGTTACAACTCTACCCTACATTGATCCCTGCTCAAACCCCAGTCACATTCACCGTTTCCCCCCTCAAAATTGACATCAAATCATTTTTTTAGAGTGATCCTCTTGAGCCCTCTTTCTATGTAGTATTACCACTCCTCGTGGTTATGGTGTTTTGATTCCGAGATGACCCTGGTGCAAGCAAATGCTCGTATGGCTGATTTTTCCACTTTATCAAGAAGTAAATATATTATTTTAGTTGCGGGAACCCAGACAGCGTGAATATTGTTTCTCTTTGATCGTATCAGTGGCACCCTCAGAAATTGCGCTGGAATATTTTTATCTTACAGGAAGTCACCCAGTATTTTTTTTGGCCTGTAAACTCTCTTCGATTGATAAAAAATCAATTATTCATTTTTGGTGTGAAATACCTCAGAAAGTGCCCAGAAAAACGGAGGAAAATTTGAGAGGGTACCCTGATTAATATGGGTCTGTACCTGTCTCCCTAAGTATACTTTGCACCCAAAAACCTTGGAAAAGGTGGTCAACACGTTAAATATCCGTTAATCGAATCATTTTTGGGGGGTTTTCAAATAATACATGTTTTCGAGCAACCCCCCAACAACCCGGGGCCGGTTGGCATGAACAAGGAAGACTGTTTAATATAATTATCCTGGAATTTGACCACGAAACCCGGTACTAGAGTGAATGCTAGGCGCACTTCGAGGATTCAGAACAATCCGGATGCTTATGGATTATTTCAATTTATTTGGCACCAGTTCCACAAGGAGCACGAACCGACTGTATCATTTCTTCCTTGCTGGTGGAGGGAAGTTCAAAGAAAGTAATGATTTGTAGACCAAACTTAATTCAATTGTCATTACAACCGAGTTATGTTCAGGGTGGATACAGAAGTTGGCATGGATTTATCAATAGAATCACATCCTGGCGGGAGGGACTGAAGAGATATATGGAATACATGCAGGAAGGAACTTGACTCCACTGGAACCGAGTTCTCATACATTGCCGAAACTGGGGTTTGAATACAAACCCGAATACTTTCCTGGGCCCTCTGAATCCTCAATGCCATTGTCCACTGTCTCACCATCGACATGAACCATCCTCTGCACCTGTGTTCGCACCTGCACATGCGCTGCACGGTTTAATGCGACACGGGTACTGTTGGTCAATGACTTATTAGCTGCGGACTGCATGGTAGCTGCATCTTCGGTGCTGATGCCCAGACCAACTCGCACAATGATCAAGGTTGGGACTATACCCTGTTGTCTTTGGTTAGGATAAATACAAGGCAGTTATCGAAATGAGAGCTACCATGATCTGAGAGTGAGCATCATATGCAATATACTGAAGGCGCAACATTAGATGGGACCTGACATAGATAATGTGTTCGTACTTGTGCATTAGTCCTGAGGCAGTATAAGGTTAACAATGTTATGAGCGATAGTGAATATATTGCCCCAGACTCGATGCTAGGCCAGGGATGATAGTCAGGCAGGGACACACATACAAAGAGACAACACACATGATGGCGACAGCGCTAATGTACTTGTGACTGTGTGTTTTGCCTAGGAGTTTTCTTGTTGTCTGTGCAATCCAGTATATTCGCCCCGCTAAATATTCACATCTCAGAAATAAGAGCTGCTGCAAAATGCGAATTAATTGACCAATCAAGGAGGTGACGAGGATATTGGTGGTGAGAGAAAGAATGAATAATGCAGTTCCCCATTCGGCAATGTTGGTAGCGAATACGTCTTGGCCGGGAACAATTTTGATGAAGTTGTAGACAGCAGCATATGCACAAACTTGGACCATAAACATCTGCAAAACAGACTGGATGGTGGACTCTCGACTCACCACTTGTGGCCAATAGCATGATTGAAGGAACAATTATTACTCGGATGTTGGAGCCCCAGACGATGTAGCAACGGTATATCTAGTCACACCATGAGGTTGGATTTGATACGACATGGAGGACTCACAACCAAACCATCAGCCACAATGCTACACCACAGCAGAATCTCAGAACGGCGAAGAACATTGGATGAATTTGACGTACTTGTTTGTGGCGAATAGGGCCTGCTTGAATATGTTGATCCACAACCAAATCGCGGAATAGTAATCGAGTGCACCATCCTGTATGTTTTCTTGGTCGATAAAGGCTCTCAATCCCCTGACAAGTCCGACGGAGACATGAATGGTGCACATTGAAAACATCAGAACCGCTGTCACTAAGAGCGGCAAGTTGAAGGTCGTCCCGGGAGCACGCCGCGAGTAGAGCAGAATGTGGACACAAATTCCGAACAGAACCCCATACACTCCTAAGCAATAATACCTTCAGATGAGCTCGTCGTGACAGAATGTGTCTCTTACCATACAGAAAAGTCTCGAGCTGGCAAGACAAAGATAATATCAGCACCAGGGAACGAATAGTCAAATTGAGACTTGCCCACAAAGCGACAAAGGAAGCCTAGAATGTAGTGTAAGCCATGTATGATACCAGACACAGTGTCGAGAGTTTTACCTTGTCGAGTCGTATATCAAGCATGTAGACAGAGCTAATGGTGTGGTCTTTCAGTGTCAGGCTCAAGGGCCCGCCTACTCCCAAGGCTCGACAGTTATATAGTAAGCAGCCCCGATCGGAGTGAGTTACCAGCGGCAATCTAGGTTGATTTCCGCCGTGTACTACCTACCTACCTACCTACCTACCTACCGTTATCCCGTTGAACCCGTGCGACTGAGTCGCGCAGAAATAAGGCAAGGACCCCAGATTCCGGGGCCGAGATATCGGCTCGGGAGAAGCTTGAACTTGAACGACAGTTACATTACATAAGACTTCGGAACTTCCACATGGATCAAGAGGGGGCTTACCGCCTTCGTCACCGCCGCCCATCAGAATACTTGATTGCACTTGATTGACCTTGAATTGGCCGAAAAAGTGCTAAAGGAAAACAAGTTCTTCTATGGGGACTGCTGATCGCCAGAATATGGATGGACTGACTCATTTCTGGGTTAATATCCTATCGAATGCCCAGCATTTTACGACCTACGGATTCCCTGGGGATCTTTCATAACTCCCGGGCAAACTTATTCACTCACTATGACCTCGGAAACACCTTGTAGATTTTTTATTTTCTCGATTTGCCATTGTCTGAATTCAATTTAGGTTTGCTGCCTTCTTGAGTAAAGACATGAATCATCTGTCGGCAGTTTCATGGACTATAATCAAGACCCCTGTAACAAACCGGAGCACCCGGAATCCTTGGAAACAGCTCAACTTCGAAAAATGGAATTAGTTACTACGTTCAAGATCTTGCTCGTGTTGATGCTGGTTACAGAATTATTCTTGCAGAGGCAAGGACAAAGACTGGCAATCACATTCTTGAAAACGGCGCGTTGATTCACAAGAAAATTATCATGATCTCATGTTTGTTCAGGAACTGTTTGGGGCCTGGGGTCACTTGTGATCCTTTCTGCGACCATAGTTGCTGTCCGCAGAGCAATGCTCCTTGGCAAGGACATATATGCCTTCAATCAACGACTGAACACAGTCTTTTCCGGATTGCTACATCCCTAGCTTGGCTTTTCTCATTGAAACGATGAACGGTGGAAGCCGCGGCAAGAGAGATCCTACTAATTTTCCCTTGTGATTATTGCGAAGCCGGATTTGCAAATTTTGCACATTATTGCATTCACACGGGACGGATATGTGATGTGCCGCCCAAGTCGAAGTTGACCCCCTGAGCGCTAGCCTATCAATCCCTCTGTGAGATAATACCGTTCCAGACTGCTCGATGGCCGAGCAAAATCAATCACCTGTTACAAGTTGTATCGCACTTGATTGTGTAAAACTTATATCCCGACTTATTCATGCTTTACCGTGGGCCTAATGAGCCCGCTCCATCACGAGTGTGCCAAGGGGAAACTGACGGCATTGTCGAGCTTCTCCGCTCTGCACGCGAATTGGACAACACGAAAATAACAAGCGCGCGGTGGTTGTGCCGAAAAGCCGCCGTTTGCTTCGAATTCAAGGCAGTGTGTTAGGGCACCGGTGATTATAAGCAGAAAATATAGCGCACTCATTACTTTGAGACTCTAGTGTGCAGCACAGTGGCCGCCCATGCACCGTCGTCAATATGGTAACAGCCGGGATCTTCCGAATGAGGACAAGTTACACCTACAAAGGCTGCCCAGAAAGGCAACCAACCGTCTCATTGTTGGGAACGAAGAGGTCCATTGTTCCTATCGCCAGCCACGCTTATGCTCCCAAGACATCAGTATCTTGCAAGTGCCAGTGAGCAATACTACGGTCAACCAGGACATCTCGGACATCTAGTGTCTGAGTGTGTGAGTCGTAAAACTCACCACCCATCAACACGAGGAATGAGCCCACAAATAATCTCTATGATATGGCACTGCGGCGGCGAGCCCATGCTCTATCTAAATCCTCTTATTGCCCGTCAAAACA